GTCAAATAAATGGCCCTGATCTGTAGTTTTGCAAAGTGGTTTCCATTATTTGAAATATTTATTAGTTTTAATTAGTTTGTGCAGGATCTTCCATCTAAGATGGGGTTACTCCCATAAGGTTAACATGGAGGAATCTATTTATTAAATTGGAAACTTTGTCTCCACTAATTTGAGAGAACGGCTGGGCGTAGAAGCTTGGTAGGGGTGTCTAAAGAAAGGTCTTGGTCTGTAGATGTGCCATCAAAAGTAAAACGAAGTAAATTCCCTCAGCGCTCTGCTCCAGTGACTTTTAAAGTTCACTCCCCAGATTTGTTTATATTATGGTCCTATGTATATTTTTTTACTACTTTTTAATAAAAGAGCTGTTAATACTTAAATTGCATTTTTAACAAACACATCAGGGAGTTGAATTAATTAATAAAAAAAGTACCCCCGCCGCAGCAAACCTGCAGACTAAGCGAATTTCCTGCCTGATTTGATTTTCAATTAAATCTATTCTAATAGCATTAGGTTTAACGAGAACCTAAGTTTGCTGCCTACAGGGAGGGTAATAGTGTGTTTGTTAGTAAAATATTAAGAGCTTGGTATAAAGTAGGGGTGTGCGAATAGTGATTTTCAACCTCGAGCCGAGCCGAGCCGAGCTTTTTAAAATATTTTCGAGCTCGAGCTTTATCGAGCCGAGCTTTTCCTAGCGTCACCTTATAATAATAATAATAATAAATCTTTATTGTCGTTTGGTAATATAAACATTACATGTTTTGTTACATATGTTAAATAAAATATTAAATATTCTACAGAAAATGTTAAAATAAAGTTAAAAGGATAAAGCATCAGTAATAATAAAAACTTTAAAATTAACAGGGAAAAGACCATAACAAGAACAAAGAATCATCAAGACTGCTTGGCCTCACATTTAAGCGTTAAAAAATCTTCATTCTGCAAAAACTCATCAACTGAATAAAAAGCACGACTTGTAAGCCAATCTGATAATTTTGACCTATACAAATGAATACTTTCCTGATTTCTAAAATATATTGGAAGTTTATTAAATAGTTTTATTTGCAAGTATTTATAACTTTTGATAAATTTTGATAGCCTGGCTTGAGGAATATATAAATCTTTTGATTGTCTGGTGATATATACCCATGGATTGAGTTGCAAGGAACAAATTTATTCAGATTCTCTTTAACGGAAACTAAATTGTAAAAAATGAAAATATTAGAGAGTGTTATGATTTTATTTTCAGCAAAAAATGTTTTGCAACTAACCCTATCTGGAATTTCAAACATAATTCTGAATTCTGAACATTATCAAAAAAATAAATTATTAAACATTTTTCTTCAAAAAGTGCATAATAATAATAATGTTCAGTCAATTTTTAAATAAACACAATATTATTTTAATATGTCTAAAAACATTGAGAATTGTCAAGACATCAAATAGTAGATAATCACGATAAGAACTGAACTGAACTAAATTAAGATGCAAGAAATAAAAGGATATGATTGAAGGCCTGACGAGATATGCAGTGCAGACTGAGCCAATCAGATTGTCTTTCATAACAGAACAGCGCTATCTTGAATGACAACAAAACAACTAGCAAGTCGATTAAATATGTATATTGTAACTACTATGAATATTTTATTCCATTTTGTATAAATAAATAAATATAAAAACACGTGATTATTCTTGTTGTTTTCCATGCACAAAATATTTTTGTTTTATGAATCATATTAATCAATACCGCCGCCGCAGCAAACCTGCCGTCTAAGCGAATTTCCATTTGGCCGAATTGATTTTCAATTGATCTATTTAAATAACATTAGGTTTAACGAGTACCTAGGTTTGCTGCTACAAGGAAACTAATAAAGTAGTGTGTTTTTAGTAAAATATTGATAGCTTACTATAAAATAAATAAATTTGCCAAGTTTGATCAAAATATATCCATAAACAAGCAAACTACAACATTTTACAATATTCTCCATAAGAATAACATGGGAATTTTAAATTTACCATTTTTTTAGTTTTCTCCGTAACCAATAACCGTACAAAAACACTTTGATATACTGAATTGTTTGTTTTTTTAAGCTCTTTAAGAAGGTTTAGAGAAAAATTGGGAAATTTTGTGTTTTGAGGGTAAAAAGTGAGAAAAACCAATTTTTACCCCATAAAACCCCCCATAAAACCCTGTTCCCATGGTCCGATCATGCTGGATCGCGAACTCATTCAAGTTTATCCCGCCTTACACCTTCAAACCAAATTTCATCAAAATCGGATAAAAATTACTCAAGTTATCGTGTTCACGGACACATATATATATATATATATAAATCTATATATATATATCTATATATATATATATATATATATATATACATATATACACATTTGAACGAATGGTGTTTTTGGCCTCTGGGGACATTAAAATGAAAAAGTAAATCGGTCCCGGGCCTAAGTCTTACCATGAGACCTACGGTAATAGCTACTTCCCTATAGGGAAATTCGCTAAAAAGAACATGATTGGTTTGGATCAAAAAAGGTGAAGAGACAGAGTAAAAAGTAAAATTATATATTAAAAAATATATAATTGACATATAGAGGAAATAGACCAAAACACTAAAATTAATAGAATAACACACAAAGTAAACAAGAAATGAAATAATGAACACGATGATTTAACACTGTCACTAAATTCTGTTATCTAGAAGGGTCGGTGAACTAATCAATAAATAGCCAAAACCAGTTTCCTCCCCCATTTCTCTCTCAGTCTCACCACCACCCCTCCCCCCCTGAGCCGGGAGGCCCAGCACTTTGTCCTTGAAACACCCTAGCCTCTGAAACAATAAACCCTTACACCCGCATTGCTGTTTTGACAACAGGGTTATGAATGCATTCACTATTTTTCATTTTCCAGGATTAACTCTCAATTATTATTATTTGCAAGTTACAAATAGGAAACTACATCACATTATGGTATTCAATGACCCATGTATTATCAAAAATTAATAATCCATTACTTATTTTGATAATAAAAAGCATTCATTACAGCACGCACCACTTATTGATATTTAAATAATCATCAAAGTAACTGTTACTTTATACAAAATAAAAATAAAATAGGTACAAAATTGTGTGGCCAGTCAAACTTTATAAACAAACATTTTATTCTATAAAATACAGATGGTAAATAGGGGTTGGTTTAAAGGAAATAAAATACAAAACAGATAATTAATTATTTTGATAAACATTAGAAAGGTTATGGGATTGATTGAACTAAAATAACCGCAGGGAAACTTATAAGTAGAAAAGTTGTCAACCACAATCTGTTTAATCAGTACATTGTTAGAGAGAGCAGAGAGAGAAAGAGAGATAGCAGATAGGGGCGTTTGATAAGGAATCTGAAAAAGTAAACAAACAAGGAACAACGACACGACAGACGATTGATACTTGTTTACAGCCTTATTGTGTCGCCCACTACATTTGCACACGTGACCACTTTTTTTTTCTTCCTTATCTTTCATCCGTCCCAAAATAGAATTCCTGAAATTGTTTGTTGGTATAATCTCCCCTCCCACACAAGGCGCAGTGCTCAGTGCGCACTGTAGGTTGTCACGGCAACCGTGTGTCGTCATAGCGACGAGCCAATCACGCACTCGCACTGCGTTGTATATTACGATTTACGATACGAATAGCTGTGTTAGAAAGACAACGCGATAGGTGGTAGTTTGTCTCTTTACTATCTCCTCAAAATTACGATCGATAATCATTGCGTCTTGACTGAGCTGAGGTTCGTGCTTATCAAACCTCGAATGATTGAACAACGTAGAATTGTGATAACATTGTTTCCAATTACGACCCAAATTAAGTGTTTTTTTTTTAGTTTTGACTTAGTATTAAAAGCTCGGCTCGAACTTCGAGCTTTTTCAAAATGCCTCGAGCCGAGCCGAATAATGAAAAGCTCGACCAAAAAGCTCGAAGGTTCGAGTACTCGCACACCCCTAGTATAAAGTAAATAGATTTTCCAGGTTTGATCCAAATATATCCATAAACAAGCAAACTATAACAGTTTACTTATTCTCCATAAGAATAACATGGGAATTTTTAATTTACAATTTTCTCCGTTACCAATAATCATACAGAAACACTTCAATATAGGCCTACAAAATTATTTGTTTTTTTTAAGCTCTTTAAAATGGTCTAGAGAAAGTTTGGGAAATTTTAAGTTTTGAGGGTCTAAAACAAGAAAAACAATTTTTACCCCATAAATCCCCTATTTACGTTTTGACCCCCCCCCCCCCCCCCCCAGAGGCCAAAAACACCATCCCTTCAAATTCATATATATATATATGTCTGTTAGCACGATAACTCGAGGAAAATTATCCGATTTTGATGAAATTCGGTACAAATGTGTAAACCTATGTTTAATAGAACGAGCTCGCGAATCAGCAAAATCGGACTATGGGAACGGGGTTTTATGGGGTAAAGATAGATTTTTTTCCCATTTTTGACCCTAAAGACATAAAATATCATATTTTCTTCCCAAACCATTTTGTAGAGCTTAAAAAAGAAATAGTTTTGTATATTGAAGTTTTGTTGTATGCCCAACGGTTACGGAGATAATTTAAAAAATTGTAAATTTAATTCTTATGGAGAATAAATAAACTGTTTTAGTTTGCATTTTTATGGATATATTTTAACAAAATTTGGAAATTTTTATTTAATACTAAGCCATCAACATTGCAATAAAAAACACACCTCAATATTTTCCCTGTAGCAGTAAACCTAAGTACTCACTAAAATTAATGTCATTTTAATAGGAAATAAATCTGACAATTTTTGGGGATTATTTTAATAGAAATCCAGCCAGGTAAATGGAAATTCGCTTAGTCTGCAGGTTTGCTGCGACAGGGGTATTTGTTAAAAAAACTTTTTGGCCTATTAAGAGTAAGGCCTACCGAAATCTGCTTAAAGAGTAATGTGGCAAAAAATAGTTTACTCACCATCGTGTAAGAGAGAATCTGAGCTGATCTTGTGTACCTTAAGATGTCTCCTGAGGTCTGTGCTCGTCTTGAAAGTTTTCTGACAGCCCTTGTGTTGGCAGAAGAATGGACTGTCTCCTGAAACATGCAAGTGAACATAGAACAGGTCATTGAATCAATTAGTATTAAGAAAGAATTTATTTAATCTTTTGGATGAAATAACTTGTCTAGGTTTTTCGAACCAGGTATTTTTCAGTAAAATATTTACTATGTGAGATTTAGTAAAAATGGTAGAAAAGTAATTTTTTATTGATTTGACAAACAAATATCCAACTTACAACATGAAAAAGAATCATTCACCCCACCCCTGATGATTCTTGGCACAAACACATCACTTAATTTGGTATGGAAACTAGTACATCCTAACTTATCACACATGCTGTTTGAAGCACACCACTTTGTAGGTAATATGAGGTAAACATAAGTTTAGTATTACAAATAAATAAATAAAACTAAGTAATACTTTGTGACTTTTGTATATTACTCCTGGACTCTTGACTGTTTAAGGGAAGCTAGCTGGGCTCTATCTCTATATTCATAAAAAATCTGATTTTGCAGGAAGTCATTAAATGAGTCTCAGATTTAGTCTTTCTCTGCTAGGCAATTAATTATCTAATTTTCTATTGAGAAAAATTATCTAATGAATGTATGTGAATACCTTAAATCCATTTAGAGTAAGAAGGTTATCCTTAAAACTAGGTTACACACTGACCAGTATGAGTTCGAAGATGAACAATCATGTGAGATGAATTCCTGGCTCGGTATGAACACATTTGGCATCTAAAAACAAAATTTACAATTCATTACTGAGAGTTTACTTACTTTATTTCACAACTGAATCCACCCTAGGTTTTACCTTTCATTGTTTTTATCTATCAATTAAGAGTGATAAAAAGAAAAATACTTTATTTATACATTTCAAACAATTCAACATATGACTATGATTTTCAATCAAATATAAATGTTTGAAAAATAAAAAGAAAGCTCAATAGAGCAATGGGGGAATTGCGGCACCATCTTCAAATTGAATACTTCGAATTTTTCGTCTAGTTCCCCGTAGCCTAAGCGAAACCGCTCGAATGATGGAAAGCTGGCTTTGGATCCTCAACCATCCGATAATTTGGGAGTATGGTTTTCTCCATTTTACAGCCAGGGCTTCGCTTGTTCTCCTCTGAAACGCTTCATATTCTTTAAGAGTGATTAAGAGTGATATGAATTATTTTTCTTAAAGTAGACTACTTTACACACAGAAGGCAATTTGTCATAGAAATCATCCAAACCTGACTGGGCAGCATGGGTGGTGTTTGGATTCTCTTCAGGCAGATGACTGAAGAAGTCTGGCAACCCCATTGGTGTTGGGGCTCGAGGAGGCCTTACCTCACCAAGTCTACACACAAATGCATCGGTTCTCCATCAAACCATATCAGGCATATAACACGTCTTTTTTTGTATCAAAGTGCATATTAGATTTTTGTTTACCTGTGAGGCCGTTCATCTGTGTGTATTTGTGAGTGTTTCCTGAGCGCACCACCGTCAGTAGTAGCGTAGTTACATAGCTGACATTTGTATCGTTTGTCTCCCAAGTGAATACGTTTGTGCGACGTCAGCTTATCTTGTCTCGCAAATTTCTTTCCGCAAATAGAACATAAATATGGTCTTTCACCTAAAAAAGAAAAGTGTCCATATGTTTTTCTATTATTGTAACTTAATCTATTCTAACGAGCAGATTTAGATCCAGCCTAATATTCAATATCGATGGAATATGTCAATTGTGTTTTGTCATGTTACACCTAAGTTTATCTCCAAAAAATCTAAATTCAGCTATTTTGCATTAATAAATAAGGAGTCAAAGAAGTATTAAGCTAAAGGTTATCTTTTATTGAAATATGAAGGTTAAATATAATATCTTGATTTGTAGTGCATTCTACCATAGTCGAGAAAAATATTGTTTATAGCTAAACTACTTTACCTGTGTGTGTTCGCATATGTCGAACCAAGTCTTTGTGATAGGTACTGACAAAATTACAAATGTTACAAATATTTTTCTTGTTTTTGTTATTAACAGTCTTTTCTCTCACATCCTCACCATATCGCTGTGTTTTCTCCACAATATTTGTGCTTATGCTTAAGTTTGGAGCTGGAAAAAAAGGTTGAATACATAATTGCAGTTAAAGCTTGATAAATAAAATCCAATGAATAAAAAATCTTGATGTTTTCTTTATGATTCTTTTAAACTTATCAACCATGTAATGTTGCTCAATGTAGGTGCCTTGATTATTCAGGTTTTTAAAGAGTGTTCATCATTAATTAAATTATTAGCCTATATCTCTAATTTACAATGCTACAAGACATCAGTCAAGCCAATTTCATTATTAATCAAATTGAACGTAAATTAGAACTCCAACTATCCGAATCACTAACAGAGAGAATTAATTAAAAAATTGCCTAAAACCACAGTAATTAGAATCTTTGTTAAGAAGGCAAAGCAGAAAAAAAGAAAAAAAGAAGAAAAGAAGAAAAAAGAAGAAAAACTCTTGCTGTCATTTTGTCATTGTCTCCCAAAAAAAAATCACGAAAACAAAAACAACTTCGACATTTATTGCAAAATCCAAAAATCATCGCAGCTAGCATAGTCTACTTTTCTGTAAAATTACTCGAATTCTGGTAAAATCCAATAATCCTACTGTTTGATTATCCGATGGTGTTACGGTCTCAATTGATTCGGATAGATTTTGGAGTTCTAATGTAAAGTATATTGAACATCTTAACAGTTCGAAACACGCCAATACTGTGTTCCAATGTTATTAAAACACATATATTTGTAACGGTCTATTAGAAAGCCCTACTAAATTCTCTGCAGTGGTCTACGGGATGTCTGTTGCACATCTGCACCGCTTGGTCTGTGGATATGACATTTTTGTACAATGCAATTATCCCATGTAGCTTTTATATTAGTTCAATATAAACTGTTTTTGAAAAATCTGTTTTTTTTACTTACTATCACCTAAAAACAAAAACAAAAATGAATTGTCGCATATATGCGGCGTTTGGGCTTTTTCAAGAAAACTATAATAAATTTAACTAATGTCTTCGCTATGGACCGGGTGTCGCAAATATGTGACATTACTAAAGGTTATCAAAAATATAAAAATACAAGATTATTTGCAAACACAATTGCAACCTATTATATAGTAAATTATCACTGTTTAATAGGTTTTATCCTGTGGTCTGCGTCTACTGTTAACCAAGTGACAGCCGGTCTATAAGATTCAAATGTATACCTCGGTCCGTGGCAATGACCGTGGCATCACATGCGACGCTCGGTAGCGAACGTGTTAATAAATAAATTATAGTGTATTCATAATATATTATCCATGCCTTCCGAGTGGTTTACACCCGCCTACTTCTCAATTGCCGCTACTGGTTCCAAAAACTACCTTTATCAATACTGTATAAGATCATAACAAGAATTGTATTTAGAAGCTCCTATAGGTATGTTTTCTTAATTTAAAACGTTAGGCTAATTTTTTAGGGATAATAACTAAAACTTAACTTACATTTTCTGGAAGGATTTTCCTGTACTGCTAGAGTTACGTCTATGTCATTGTGAACATCATTATATACAGGTTTTGTTGATGATTGTTTTTCAGGTGTCTTTAAGTTAGTTACTTCTAATTGTTTATCACTTCTATTACATGGTTGAACTAGTGAGCTGCTTTCTAAGCTAGTTTGAGTTTTTTCTGATAATCTCTCGTGGAAGACTTGATCAGGAGACTGATTGTCAGCAGCATCACTTACCACTTCCTCGTTCTCACAGTGTAAAATGGGCAGAAAAGATCCATTGTCCAGTACAGTCAAATCTAACACGGCTTCATTACAAAAAAAGCCATTATCCAATGAAATATCATGAGGGTTTGGAGAGAATACAATTGTATTATGTGAGGAACATTGAGATTTGTGCTCAAGAAAAAAGTTTAGGTCGTTAAAACTCTTCTTGCAAACTCCACATACATGAAGATCTTTTGTGAAATTCATTCAGTTATTTGTTCAGTGGTAATCAGAGACAGGTTAGTCTGAAAATAATCACATTCCTTTAATTAGCTTCCTAGTATCGATTGATCGACTCATACTACTACATTGAACTATTATACATCAGATATTAAACAAAACAGCGTGATATTGAAGTAAGATAACTTAAAAGGTCTAATTCAACAGAGAACCAATGATATATCATCAGATGAAATGTTAACTTCATAAAAATGTATTAAAATATCTAATCATTTGATAAAAATGTTGAATCTATATATTGAATTTCTGTAATTGGTCTTAACAAAAGACTGCCGCTGTTTTACAGTGCACTGCGGCATTTAGGTTTGGTTATGTTGCATTGTTATGGTATAGCCTCTGGATCACTGATTTTTACAATAAAAGGTTTAAATTACCTGTATCCCTCAAGTGATCCTGGTTTGTAGTTAATTGACTACAGCCGTTTCGTGTTGTAAAAACACATCTTCAGGTCAAACGTACATTGATTTATTCAATGGAATGGTCGTCATAAGGTTTAAAGTTCACAAAAAAAAAAAAAGTATGGCCATACTCGTGCATCCTCTACCATATCTTCCAGAACATCATTTGTGGTAACTTAACTACTTAACTGTATCTAAATTGAAACCAAAAGCCCATTACATCATTTTTTATAACCAAAATTAAACTAATCATCCCTTCATATACAGTCCACTACTCTATTTTTAAAAAGCCTTCTTAGGAATATGCTACACATGTATAGGAGGTGACAAATAATGCTAATAGTTGATTCATATTTTAGCGACATAGTTTGGGTCGCAGTAGTTGGTCGGTAGTACAGGGCACCTCTGAGGACCTTTAAATCATATAGTATTGAAAATACATTATAAAAGAACAAAACTGGGCTGCTGACGCTACTCTGCAACAGCGCTGTTCAGGTAACGGTAACCTCCATTGAGTATATATGCTCTAGTATGTGTATACACAATGGCAAAATTAAAGCTAAAATAACCAAACCACCACAGCACAGTGTAAAAGAGTTGTATTGGATCCTATGGCTTTGAAAAATATTTGTATTCTAGCCTATAGGTAGATAATTCAATATTTATATTGCGTAAATAGTAGGTACATCCAATACGATTTGTATATACAACTAATAGGCCCTACTTCATCCAATATTATATCGTGGGTTCTCTACAGAACTGTGCAATCAAGTTAGTGGTTAGCGTCTCAGACTTCTGTACAAGAGAGACAGGTTCGATTTATGGCAAATGGGATTTGACCACTTCCTCTTAAAAAAAAAATCAACACTTAGCGTAAAATGAACACATTAGAAATGTTAGCTGTACGGTAGGCCTACTGAATAAGTTACAGCAGCACAAGCAGAAGCAGCTTAACCCATCTAATAACTAATACCACGAATACTAGAAAAGTCCCGGTATGGATCATAAACATAGGTAAACAAATGACATTTTTTGCCCGAAAGTAAACAAAACCATATGTTAATTAATGCTCTTAGTAAAGGGGTGTTGTTTACTTTCGGGCCAAAAACGCCATTTATTTATGTTTATGATCCATACCAGTATTTTTCTAGTATTTGTGACTAATACCCATCTAAGTAAATATTTAATGTTTTCAAATAATATTTGTGCTTTGTGATTGCAAAAAACTCATGGGCCCTAAACACTTTGAGCTTTGAAATAGGGTAAATGATCAGTAACTTTACTAACTATAGAGTAACTGTAGAGTAGGCCTAAATGTAGAGTAACCGGAGGCCACCCTTGTAAAGTGCGCTGTGACGGTTATGTTAGGTTGGGTTATCATAAATTAACTTATGTTTGTAGGACTTTCCTCGTCTCGCTATGCATCAAACGATACCAGATGAGTCATACTTTTGCCTGCCAGGGTACACGACCATATCTGTTGGCACAAACAACCGAATGAGTAATGTTGATTATTCAAATTGTTTCATTTGATTGATCAATATGTTCATTCGGTTGTTTGTGCCAACAGATATGGAAGTGTACCCGCCTGCCAAATCCCCTCCAAGTAGGCCAAGATCAGGTCGTTCACCGGAGCGTGCGCATCACCTGTCACAGCCTTGTATCTACGTCAGTGTCCTTAATGATGACTCACTGGTATCGTTTAGTTCACAACGGAACGAGGAAAGTACTACAAACATATTTATGAAAACCCAAACCAACATAACCGCTGCAGCGTGCTGTATACCTATTTTGCGGAGTACATCTGGCAGCCTGCGGCAGCGACGCATTCAACTCAATCCTCGCTGACATCATTGCCGTCTGGGAGGCAGGACTCAAATGGCCGCTAATCGTAATCGTGTCAAATTTGGACAGTACCGGTAAGTAAATTAAAGTATGTTCTTCCCCATTATGTAACTTAGTTATTTTTGGACTCCGGTAAAACAAAATCCCTCCAAAATAAGTGGTCTCCGAATTATACTAAGGTACCATAACTGATCTACCTAACTTACATAAGCTAGGCCTAACTGTTAATTTTTCTGCCTAAGGTCTAGGCCTATTGGCATTTAAACTTTGATAATTGAGTTTGCGTAAACATTAACCTAATGTTCAAAGGCTTCTTTCTGTAGGAATATTTACTGATCATTCAGTCTATAGCCATTGTCAATGCAATAACTTACCGAATTCAGTATGTTTGTACCTAATTCAACACAAAAAAGGGAAACTCCAGATTAAAATAGGCTAGTCTATTTAAGCAGATCAAATGCAAACAGTTTCCTTTCAGTAAGTTTAGATAAGAGGCGGTACTTAGTGTTAATTAAACTTTTCTTCATTTATGTATGGTGGCTTTATTAATTGTTCAGCAATTTAAAAACACAAATTCGGAGCTACGTTAGATTTATCTGAGTTATCATGTTAATTACTTACCTCCACTTAAGCCTAACCGGCCTAACCTCAAAAATAAAATATTTACGATGGCTGTTTTCACTAAGGAGTTCTTACTCCTAAACGGTATCTGAAATGTTTTGTTCCTTAATAAATTTGATTAACATGAGAATCAAATTCCATAATTTATGTATGTTATCCATAAACACGATACAAACTAAACCTATGTTTGTGATTTAATTGTTTTTATTATTGTTTAGAGATCAAAGGATACAAGAAACAAATCATGCAAAAAATCATGTCAGCAAAACTCTAAACTCAACAAACACGCGACGCGGCAGCAAAACAGCTGATTCTGGCCCAATGCCCAATGCAGCGTTTATATTTCGCGTTTATAACGCGTTTTCGAGCGTTGCACAATTTTTATTTCAGCATTGGTTTTGCCAACAGTATCATTTGGAGGCTTCTGATTGACTTATAATAAAGGTTTACTAATCGAAAAAAATTTTGCTGTTCATAAAAATGTTTTAACTATAAAATTAAACTGTAACCTAACCAAACTTGCTGATAATGAAAAAATCTAATGAAGGTTTACTAATCGAAAAAAATAGTTCTGTTCATAAAATAAAATTACAAATGCCTCAAATTCAATTTTAATTTTAATCCCACGGTTGACCCCTACCCCTGTGCTATCCTTATCTTTCTTGTCTGCTTTTTGATGATATGGATGGCGGTTTTATAAATAATGTTGGATTCAAATGACAATTTCTTGTTCAGGATGTTTTGTGGTTGACTTGTTGATGCTTTATAAATTTCGAACTCTTCAACAGTGTCCATGTAACGTCCTTTGCTGCAAAATTTTACCACTTCTAAGTTATTATGTATGTTTGTGTAATTGTAGTTGGAGGAGATAAGATGGTTTGCGTGGGCTGATTTTTTATTTTTCTTTGGGATGTATTCTTTAAACCTAGTGGAAAACGATCTTGCTGTCTGACCTATATAACAATTAGGACAATCATCACATATTAATTTTGTAAATTCCAGTTTTATTCATTTTATCAGAATCGGGGTTTATTCCTTCATTGATCAGGTTTGAAAGTTTGTTCTTTGTTTTGAAAGCTACTATGACATCTCTTTTTGCGAGTTCATTTGTTAAGGTGTGATTTAATACAACGCCATAATCTGCACTGATGTATCTTTTGTTGCCTTGTGGTTGGTTCTTGGTTATATTCTTTTGTTTATTAATCAGTTTATCAATTAGGGAACTGTTGTAACCATTGGCGACTGCGATGTGTTTTAAAACATTTACTTCATCGATGTAATCAGTTGGGCTCGATGAGATGGAGAGTAGGCGGTGTACAACACTATTATAAGCAGCGATTTTATGGTTATGCGGTTGGTGTGACTGTCAAAAAGTCAAAAACTCCACCACAAAACATCCTGAACGAGAAATTGTCATTTGAATCCAACATTATTCATAACACCGCCATCCATATCACCAATAAGCAGACAAGAAAAGAACGAGATAAGGATAGCACATGGGTAGGGGTCAACGCTGCCGACACGTGACAGTCGCGACTTACCTTTCACCGGCCCTCCACCGGTGTCTCGTGAATCAGCGTCCCGTCGACCAGTTTATTAAATGTATTTTCGTGTGTGTCATGCCCGTATGTGTCCCCCGTTTGTTTATTTGTTTATATTTTTGACGAACTCCACATGAGGAATTAGCAAGACATTCTTGACCTGAAGATGTGCTACTTTTAAAAAGCACGAAACAGCTGTAGTAATGGGAACTAATAATAATAACAATTAATAATTGTTGAATTATTGCGGACAAATTGAACTTTATAACCAACCAGAACAGTAGTAATGACGTGAAGAAGGGGTTTTCTTTCGAACCTGTGACTGGATATTATCAAGGCAGTCATGAACGACATCACCACCCGAGCCGTGGGAACGGATGGAATTTCTGTCGACATGATCAAGTCTTTGTGTCCGTACTGTGCCTCAGCTATTTGTCATTTTAGTAAATCTGTCCTTGGTTACAGGGTGTTTTCCTAATGTTTGGAAAACAAGTATACTAATTCCAATTCCACTGGCAAAACAATCAAATCCTACTTACTTGTGTTTCTCATTTCAGGCCCATTTCTATCCTCCCAGTTATGTCTAAGATATTAGAAAAGGTTGTTGTTGAGCAGTTGACATGTTTCTTAGAATCTGATAATATTCTTCCAGAGACTCAGCCAGGTTTTCGTCGAGGTTTCAGTACGAGCTCTGCACTCTTGAATATCATGGATGATCTGTTATCCGCTAAGGATAGGGGTTGGGAGAGTTTTGTCACAGGTTTGGATTATTCACAAGCTTTTGATTCGGTGGATTTTGATCTACTGTTCGCTAAACTGCGGATTTACTGATTTGATGTAACCTCTGTGTTACATACCTCTGTGCCTGGGTTTCCTCTTACCTAAAAAATAGGTCCCAACAGACTGAGGTTGATCTGAAAGCGTCGGACTTTTTGCCAAAGATTAGAGGTGTTCCGCAAAGTAGTTGCCTAGGGCTGATCCTTTTCTTGATTTACACTTCCGATCTTGAGAGTCAATTGAGGTATTGTGCTATTCATTCATATGCAGATGAAACACATCTTATCGCTTCCTTTAATGCCTTTGATGTCATTAACATGCTCGTATGAGGTATTACCGGGCATGTTAAGACCTGGGCCCGGGAGCGATTTACTTGTTCGTTTTGGGGTCTCCAGAGGACAAAAAACCATTTGTTCAAATTCATATGTCCGTTAGCGCGATAACGATAACTCGAGCAAAAATGATCCGATTTTGATGAAATTTGGTACCAATGTGTAAACCTAAGTTTATTCGAACGAGTTCGCAAAACCATCAGCGTTATCGGACTATGGAATCGGGGGTTTTATGGAGTAAAAATAAGGGAATCCCCCATTCTTGACCTCGAAACATTACATTTTACATTTTCTTTCTGAAGCATTTTTTAGGGCTTTAATAACATTAGTTTAATACCCGGAATCGTTGTTGTATGTCTAACAGTTACGGAGAAAATTCCAAAAAAGCGAAAACCAAATATTCCCATGATATACTTATAATAGGGGAATAAATACGTTGTTGTAGTTTGCTGGTTTAGGGAAAAAGTTTGGTTTAATTTGGAAAATTTGTTTATTTAATACTAAGCTATCAGCATTCCATTAGAAACACAACTTACTTTCACTGTAGCAGAAAACCTAAGTACTGTTTAAAGTTAATCTATCTATCTATATTTAATACGCGACATGAAACTTTGTGAACAATAAGGCTTTTTTGTTTTAAGATTTAACCCCACATATTATATACCAAAATGTTCGTCTAGGTGTGTAGGTGTGCAAACTGGCTTTAGATTTTCGAAATATATCTTTTAAGGGCGTGGGCTGCCCTCAAAGTTCCTTCCATAAGGATAACATTGTGATTGATTTGAATGTTATTATATTCTGAAACAGATGTCAATACATTAGTTTAACAAAAATTAAATCCCAGCTGTTTTGTTTGGTTTTGAAATGTAAACAGTTTGCATGTTTTTTTTTAATAATTAGAAACCCGGCAAAGAAACGTTATGGACACGACGGGAGAAAAGTTTTATATTAAATTTTCGTTTAAACATGCCAAGGACCCGACGACAAAAGAAATATTGCCGGTCGGACACTGCGAGTCAACATACGGCAAGCAATGCAAAACGTAAGGAGCCCAGACGAGCTGGAACAGTTAGTGACAACGTGTACTCACAAAATTACACTGACAAATACAAGAATTCAGCACTATTTACTTGGCGAGATGGGATTAAAATGTCAGAAATGTGGTGCGCTACATTTTAAAGAATGTTTAGCAAGAACAAAGAGGACGAGGCGAAGGATTTTCATTCTGCTGTCATAAAGGAAAAGTGAATCTACTCAATGATAATCTACTAAAAGTGAATCCAAAGCCTTCTTAATGGAGCAAATCGTTTGAGCAGAAACTACAAAGAGAACATTAGATCGTAAAACTCTGCGCTCGCAATGGTCAGCACTCAAATTAAAATTGAAGGACATAACAACGGTGGAGGGCCTTTCATGTACCGGTGCACGAAACAATTTATCACCTGATTGGCACCTTTCAACCGTCAGAAGGGGAGCATCTTACATATGCCCAAATTTATATCCACGGACGTCGAAACCGCTGTTCAAGGAAGAATGCCAAACAAAGCTAATGGCTCTTGCAGCACTGAACTCATGCACATTTTGAATCAACATTTGGTTGATATTAATCCATACGCGCAAGTTTTCAGCATGATGAGCTCCGTCCTGCAAAATACTACCACTAAAGATCGAAAAGAACTTAGAATGCAAATAGCCAACGATCAAGCTCAAGACCAACGTCGATACAACGACGCAACTTCTAACGACGACGTTGCTATAGGCCTAATATCCCAATTTATTATTCGTGCGAATTCGCACGGGTTCACCTAGTGTTATTTAAACAAGGAATTCAGCTGACTGTTTATATTGGGTTCTTCTCTTTATATAGGGAATATAAAAAAATCTAAACATGTTTTGGAAATTCCCTTAGTCTGCAGGTTTGCTGCGACGGGGGTATTTTACTACATCGTACATCTTCTATCAATTTCAAACAAAATCTTCTTTATTTTTCATGTCAAATATTGTAATTTCACGTTCATTGCCAAGCAAAAAAAGCAAATGTACGCTTCTCTACTCTTGTTTATGCTAAACCTTTATAATAATTGTATTTTTCCACTTTATCTGCCATAACACTGTTTATAAATCATTGTGCACCGTCCAAACAGTAAAGATTGAAAAAAGTATTTCACAATTTTACAATATACCTATTGATAGTGTGGTCTTTCATCTCTCAATCATGCGGCGAATGCAGCCCAAGAACCCGCAATGACCTGGGAAGGATGAAATGATGATGGAGGGTCCTTGGCCAGGGGGGCGGTGCGCGGGGCGGTAGGCGGAGCCCTTCCTGACCCTCGGCCTAGGGTTACACCCTGGGCCAGCGGTCCAGACAATCAACATCAGTAAACTAGAGATGACGACAAGATTAAACTTTTTCTGGAATCAATATCCATCAATGATCAGACACCCCTTACTTCGTATAAAAAAGCCATACGAAATAATTAAAATTATGTTAATTCAAATTGGCTAGGGACACTTCAACTGTATGCTATGTCTGCATTTTGTATGCTACCGCAAAATAAATAGCCCCGCCT